GAAAAAAAAGTTATTTCTGGTAAGGAATCATTTCCAACATTTTAGGAATTTTTAGCTTTTCTATTGCTTTTTTTTTTTTTTTTTGCTGTAGTTGTTCCTGCGTGGACCATTACCTTGATGATCACACAGTGGAGATCTATAGTCGATGGAAAACCCCAAAGATGAGAGAGGGAGAGGAGCAGAGGCGGACGTTCGGCACTACACACACACCCACACACACAGGCCTTGGTACATCAGTCAGACAGCCCTCTAGTCAGGAGAACCCCTGGCTCACCTTCACACAGATTTATAGATCACACACACACACTCACACACATACAGAAGTTGTGCTGACATGAATTTATGCAGTCACTTTGACTCACATAAACATGCCTCCACCTCCGTGCAAACGCACTTACGCACACACACACACACACAAACTTCAAAGGAAGGCTGTAACCTGACATGCTGCCAAACGCCAATAGCCCACATTAACTTTTTTTAATGTTTCTCTTCTTTTTGGAAACCCACCTGTTTCTTACAAAACATGTACCTGTTCTTTTTCTCTCTAAGCTGCAGTTTAAAGATCAGCGTCTGACACACGCTCTTAGCCACTGTCCACATGCTGGTACTCAATCACTGCTTGTCTGAAGATCCCACACTCTCTGCCCCTATCAGAGGAGTATACACACGCCAAAGCCTACTCTAGACACAATGTAGCCATCTTCCTTCTGCCACTTCTGGGTGGATATAAGCTGCGGTGCTCTGTAATCTTATCTGAGGCAGTTTTTACCAAGCTGATGAGCCTGTATGCTGGCTCTGACCTGTAAATGACAAAGTCTCCTTGATGTTAAATGCAGCTGCACAGACAAAACTCACAGGGCTGTTGTTTCCGCAGCATCTGAAAAACACCGTCCAGATGTTGGCAGTTGAGCAGGTTTTTTTTCTCTCCTATCAGGGTGCACAGGTGACACAAGAAAAGGGGGAGTTCCAATCATATGTTTTTTTTTTATTATAAGGAAATCTTTGAAAATCCAAGTCTAGTTAAAGTGTATTAAAGCAAACAGCCAACAATCACATCTAAAGAGAGTTTAACAAAGTTTTTAAGATCGACAACTAGCTGAACATTTACATAATTTCCACCCCATTTCCAAGCTATCTTTATAAGCAATGCGCCTATAATATTTACACATCGACTCTTATGTTTTTGTTGTATTATTTGCATTTCATTTGAAGAATAAAAGAAGAGAAGGAAGATAGTGGATAGAAGGGATGCTCAAAAGTACCACTGGTTTCTAAATACAATCTAAAATGATCAAGGGCATCCAGAGGTTTGGGTAAAGCCTGCCTAATCACTTTGAAGATTTAAAGTTTCTGTAATTCTGACAGAATACAAATATAGAGATAAGACCTCACGTATTAGTGACTCTGGCAATTAAGCACCAGCAGGATCCTAAAATCACTATTGGTAAAAATTCATGCTTACCACAATTATAGCTTACCTTTACAACTTTTTCAGCTTTTTAAAGCTGATTTTATAGAATTTCTCATTACTAACCCATGTCTCTTTGCTTCTCTAAGATACAGACCTAACATCACATCCTCTAACCATAAAGCTTGACAGAGAACCATATATATGCTTTCACCACACAGTGGGTGATCCAAAAGTAGAGGTGATTGTGAGAGACCCCAATGCAGTTAAAAAGGAGGCAGAGGTGGAGAAAAAAATAAGATGTATAAAAATACAAATTAATTTTACAAAAACAAATTCTTAGACACAAATATCCTAAAATGTGGCCTGAAAATGATGAAAAATAAGGATTAACCCCAAAAACAAACCTAAGAAGATGAAGGAAGATGACTGGATAGCAGAATTACATAAAGCAGAGAAGAGCAGTGCTGAGCAGATGAAGCAGCAATGAATAAAGAACCAAAGGGGAATAAATGCTAAAGAAAACTAAACTGATGAGTTAAATAAACAACATCTAAGATTAAAGAACACACAGAGAGAGAGAAGGAATCAAGGATAATGAATGACAGAACGGGAACAGAACACTGTCCAGAAACGAATAGCACACAAACAGAACACAACTGGATGAATGAAAGGCCTGAAACCAAGAGGAAACTGGGCGACTCAACGGTAAGAAAACAGGAAGAAAGAAGAACTGGGGAAATAAAGGGCCTCAATATCCAAAATAAAACATGACAGCTGGAGAACAATTAGGAGATGAAACTTGGAGAGTTTGTCCAACCCCACTAGGACTTCAATTAAAATCTGTTCATCTACCAAATTAGTCTGATATTGAACTTTCTTTACAAAGCAAAAAAAAACAACAACAACAAAAAAAATCAAATAAAAAGTATCTTGTTCTGGAGCAAAACACAAACAAGTATGGGGAAAACCACCACAGCTCAATGTTAGATTCAGTTTCTTATCCAGCAGAGTGCGGTCATGAATGAAAGCTGTCTGACTGCTACCAAACTGGAAATGGTTCATAATCATCAGATGTTTCAAAATAACAATTAGAAATGTGTTTTCAAATAAACACAAAAATGGCCAACCAGTGCAAAATCAACCATCCTCCAGGGTCATATCTGACCCAGCTCTAAAATAAGCAGAAAATGTGTAGAATAAGCTAAGGGGATTAGTTCAGAATACGGAAGGCCAGGAAGATCTTTAAAAATTATTCAAAGATGAAGAGTCGGTCAAGTTTTCTCTCTCTCTGTATCCTCCAACTTAATGAAAACTTGCAAGATAAGACTGGCTGTAGCTGTATAAAAAAAATGAGGGGGGTGAGATCTATGGACAACTGCAAGAAATACAGTTTCCAAAGCTTGTTTTCCAAAGCAGGTCTAGTCAATAAAGATTGGTTTTATCTACCGTAAGTTATTCTGTCTGAGTTTATGCTTTCCTAGGTATGCTTGCATCTGGGTACAACTAATCCAGACTCTTGGTTTTCACGAACCTGCATAAATAGTCGGAACCATGCCTGAAAGGTTCAATTAAACCTGCAAGTTTTGAGTTTTTGTTGCCAGGATCAAGAGTAAACTAAACCAAGGAAAATGCTTTTCTATAAATGCTCCAGATCCAGTTTTTTTCTTGGTAAGCATTCTCCCAGCCCCTTCTCCTCCATGCTGGTGCTACAATCAAAACATAAAATCATATTTCTTTTATCCGGATAACGCTGGAGGTTAATGCAGATGTTGCTTCCATGTGGATCATCATAACATCAGCAGACTTTCTCTCTGTGTTGCTAAGATGTCTGACCGTATGGTTAGATCATATTCTTCTTACATCTGACGACCTAATGTATTACTCACTGCTACCCAGACTAAGAGGTGACTCACAAATAAAGTTAGGATGAGATAAAGGTGGGTGACTAAGAAAGAATGAAAGGTAGCAGCGGATCTCAGAAGCTACCAGTCACTCTTCTAATTGCAGTGTCTGACAGAGGGAGCGTGGCTCCTCTCATAAATGATTTATCTCCTATCTGTTTACTGCTTAACTGTTTTAATGTCCAAAGGCTTTGGGTATATAGACTTCATCCTAAACTTTGTTACATACAATATGAGTTAGATGTGGCGTATGACAGAAGTGTTTTAGGTCAGTTATGCTGCATGTAAAAAAGTTAAGGATACTATTTTGTTTAGAAGTTTTTCTGTCAATGACACGATTTTTTAGAGCTAAATTATTTCTATTTCAGATCCCATCAGATGCAGCCTCAGGGAAAATAACTGGCCACATAAATTTCAGTCTGTGGCGGATTCTCTCTGATTTTCTCAGAGTTAGCACGATATCAAAATATGCACGTGCTCTAAAAAAACTAATACATGCGCACAAAAACCACAGAGGTTTTGCTGCTTGTTTAAATAAATTTAGTTGGTTGATATCTTTGGTCAAGCCATGCCTTAGAACCTCAGCACATCCTAGAAAGCCAATGTTTGCCTACTTTTTTCCCTCCACATGCCAGTTTTTATACCTCTGTTAGAACATTCATTTTTATCCAGCTTATTTCTGGGGAAGTTGTAGAGTTAAGAGCTAACCTATGATTTTTATTATTAAATCCCCAAATGGTGGTTCACTAACTCCACTGGCAATATAAAAAGTCCCATAGCATGATACAACAGCTACTGTGCTTGACTTTTTATTAGCTTTATCAGATTTGAAGGCTGCCCCTTTACTCATCTACAACTTCTTATTGATATTGGGTCAAAATAGTTTAGAATTTGTCTTTTAGGACCACAAGTCTTTTCTCCTGATCAAATGTAGCCTGATCATGTGGGACACTGTAAGTTTCAATCAAGCTCAGAAGATTTTATACCAGGGGCTTCTAATTTGATCAACATCCTCTCAGTGGAGCGGTGTGTGAAAGTGTCTCCTAGTTTATGATTGGCTCGAATGGATGTTGGAATTTTTTTATAAAATCCTGACATTTTATTTTTTGTTCATGTCATGTTATTAAAATATGGATTCTGTCAGGCGTTTCAGCAAGAGAGTGAGCCTAAACATTTACTTTCTGAAAAGCCATCCAAAAGCACTCATGCTATGAGAAGAACGTGAGTGCTGGTATCTAGCTGTTATATTCAGCTAGGATTATACCTAAAGCTTTGTGGCAGCTACAAAAGCCAGGTTGTTAAGGTACTTCATAAGGGACATTTATCAAATAGTAAAAATGCATCAAATGCATTAAACAAAAGTTTCACACAGTTTTTTTTACGTCCAAATTTTGGAAGTTGATGTTTGTATTACTCCTCCAACATGAAGCCCCAGAATCAGTTGACAATTCACTTCCATTATTATTCTGCATATAAAACTTTTTACTGCATAACTAAATGAAAAATTCTGTCAGTATTTAAGAAGAAAGACTTGCTGGCTTGCAGGACTGATTTTGTTGGTTAAAATAATAACACCAATCAATATAATATTAATGCGAGAAGCCTAAATTAAACCCATTAAAGCTTTTTTTTTTGATAGAGGAATGCAAAAAAATACAAGATAAATCTCATTTGTTTTTCTGGGTATTCTTTTATTTCATCTTATACCTGCAAAAATATATTCTTGAAATAAATAAATATATGAAATAAATATAATGTATGCCCTAAGAAAAAAAATATAAATAATAAGATCCATCAAATGTTCGTCTTTAACCAGTCCCATGCTTTCTGTGTGACTGCAGACAGTCAGGTGTACAACAGCTTAATTCCTTCAGTGAATGACTGCCGCCAGTTCCGACCAGAGAGGTTTCCCATCACAGCTCCCCGCAGCGGATATCCGAACGGCCTTCTCTTTCAATTCACCCTCCTCTTGAATTTTGCAGAAGAGTCGTATTTTCTGAGCAGCAGTGGATTTCCAGAACAAGCATGGCTGCTTTCCAGTGCATTAAAAAGTTTTTTTTTTTTTTTTTTTTGTTTGCAATGCAAATCAGCCATAGCAGCCTTAATAATGGTAGGAAAAAGAAAATGTCCCAGCAGACACAGTGGTAAAGGCTACCAGTGGCTAGTGGTTAGTCTCACAACTATCAGATCCAGTTCTGTCCATCTGAGCATGCAGTCTGAACAGCTTTTATTTGGATTTTATAAAGCAACAACTAATGAAAATTCAAAGATTATCCATTTGGTCACCGGGGTCTTCCCATAGGCCACCGAGGAACAACATTCTTTTCATAAACTTTGCTTGTGTTCTACTCCTCAAACCCAGACCTCTCCCAGACTTTTTTTCCTTCTCTCTCTACCCCAGCAGCATGGACTTGATTCAGTGCTTTCTGTGCGATCCTGTTTCATCCAGATCAACAAGATCCTCCATCTCCAAAAAGGAAGGGGATGACATTCGGCACACTTAATTGGCCTGTTTCCTCCAACCAGTTTTGTTTGAAGAACAGCAGCTTTTGCTTTCAGCTCTGGCCCAGTATATCTCTGTACAGGTCTGGGACTCTCTCTGGATCTACAGGCCTCGGTAGGAAGTGTGTGAACCGCTGATGCCGCCGTGACCTTGTTCCATCCCGTGACGTCCCATCTTTGTTCAGCCCAACAAAATAAAAAGCACCCTTCTCCCCGTGCCGGTAGATGTTTGAAGAGTACGTGTTATACCAGTTTTCCTCAAACTGCTCCCTGAAAACACACTCTGCTGATAGCTTCTCCTGCAGGGGGAAAAGAGAGACTTTAGTTTTGTGAGGCAAAACAAAAAATTAGTTGCTTGTTTCTATAAACAGGAAATGGGCATTAACACAAATCAATATGGATAACAAATATAATCGAAATTATGTAAAAACTATAGTGATGCAGTTGGCAGTATGGCTCACTACCCAGGGCAGCACAGCCTTTTAGGCCTGGTATAAGCAAGTACTTTATTTTTTTTTTGTTTTTTCTTGTTTCGTTGGTTTTTTTTGGAAAATCTTGACATTGGGGTGTGGGTATACTAGTGTGAAATATAAAACAAAATAAAGTATGGGTGTAGTCTGGCTTCTATTTTGGAGTAAAACTGCCTTTAATCATTTTATTAAGGAATCAACAGGGCATTTGATTCTTCAGCTTAAGTTCCAAGATGCTTGTACTCGTCAAATCTGAACTGGAATACTTTTCACCACACTGAGATTTCTTCAAATACTTTAGGATCTTTGAATTTGTTATTAAATTAGAGAAATTGCACAAGCATTATGTTAAAGTTTTGTCAGTAGAACCCAATAACATCACTGATTCACAAAAGACTCATTTAGAAAATTATTGCTGCGTGTATATTTAATTCAATTCAGTTGAATTAAACTGAATTGAATTCACAACACATGTTATCTCCAGGCACTTTACAGTTCACCAGATCATCCAGTCAAATTGATTCAAAGATTTCTATCAAAGGAAAACCAGTTGATTGCATCGACTCATTGACTTGAAGACAATCTCCGTCACACTAAGCATGCTTGTAGCGACAGTGGAGAGGAAAACTTCCCTTTTAACAGGAAGACATTTCACATTTATTGATTGTTTTGTTATAGTCACATGCTTACCGATCCGTAAAGCTCTCCTTTACTGTTCATGGCTAGGTAAAGGCCACTGTCCACCCCTCTGATGCTGACAAGTCCAACTGCAAGACTGATGAACTCCAGAATACCTGCATAGATTAAAAACAAAAAAATCATATTAAAATCATACAGGGAATTACAGTTTCCACTTGAATAATAACAAAAAACTTAAAGGGATTAGCAGAGTTAAACTATAAAGAAACAAAGGATTTCTTTTTACCAACAGGGGGGCCCAAAGAGCACTTTGCTCAAAGGAAGTGAGAAAAACTTGTGATTATTTTTAAAGTTTCAAATAGGAAACTTCAAATAAAAACTAAAAATATTTTCCATCCTTTTTTTTTTTTTTTGAATAAAGGTTTTTAGCATAAATTCGTCTGAACTGAAACTAGTGTTGACTGCATACTTTTTTTCCCTAATGATCCCTAAAGGGGTGATTAGGAAGAAAAGAAATGATGGGGCAGGCTCGCTTGAGCAAAAGAAAAGAAAAAGGTGTAAACTAAAGTAAGAAATAAGACAATACTATCCATAAATTGTGCCACCCTTTCCTGGAAGGCGCCCTGAGCAGTGAGCCATATGGCTCTGACATAAAGCTGCGCCAAGGTGTGAAAGGAACTGAGTTCAGAACAAGAAGTTCTAAAGCCAGGAGGCTCAAATCTCTGCAGAACTCTGCTTTGATGCCTCTGAGCTGAAAGCTGATTAAAACACCAGATCAGCAAAAATGCATGAAACATGCCAACACTTTGTCCCAGAGAGGGAACATGTATCCCTGAACAAATAACTAAAATATGTTGGAAGAATTCATGATAAACAAATAATCAGAATATTCTGCATGACTTGCAGCTCTCTGCATTAGATGGTTATTACACCTTAATAATGTATCAGTCAAGAACTTATTTTAAAATCTGCAGATAATTGCATTTTCTGATTAATTAAATGTTTGGTTTATTTGTAAGTAGCTTCAATTGAAATCACATGTTATCATTGCACAGCAGAGCTTTCCTATTTACTGCGCTCCCCTCCACCTATAGTACTACTACTACTGCTACTACTACAACCTCTGCTGCTACTGCTGAGCCATCCTCATATTAAATGTATAGATCTCTACCGAATCTGCTGTGGTCCTTCCTGGTGCCCTGCACGGTGCCATCCGGATGGATTTCCAGGTGGAAGCCGGTCCTGCAGTAAAGCTGCCTCCGCCTCAGGATGCCTTTCAGATGGTTGAGGTCCGCCAGGCTCCGGGATAGCCTCTCCGCGGACACCAGGTGCTCCTGCTGCTGCAGCTGCAGCCCCTGTCCTCCCAGCATCAGTCCCGTTGCAGAGTTGTAGTCCACGGCCCCCGCTGGGGTGAGAACAAAATGCGAAGCAACCGAAGCCGGAGCGGCGCCAAAGCTGTCCAAAAACCCGTTGGCGAAGCTCCCAAGCTCAGCCGCTGCCCCCATCACAGATTCAGACACCCGATGCTGCTCGCAGGAGATCCGAGGTCCGAGTGATGAGCGAAGATCCACTGTTTGCCAACCAGGATCGGCGACTTGAGAAGAAGGAAAAAAAAAAAGTTAAATGTGCGCACAGTGCGGAATTTTGGCGCACCACTAATTAAATTGTCATTGCAGGGAAATTAAACTCCTGCGCTGTGATAACGTCTATGCGCTGCAGCAATCCGCCTCCCTTCCTCTCCTCCTCCTCCTCCTCTTCTCTTCTATTTATCTGCTCCCTCTCCTTGCCTCACCTTTGGATACTCCCCCTTTTTTTTCTATCCAGGATTCCTTCTCCTTCTCTCTCTCTCCTGCTGGATTCACTTCAGGATATGAAATCTGCTTCTGCAGCAAAGCATTGACACAACTGCACCTTTCTCCTCAGCACGTTGGCTCACATTCATCCCGGATTGCCTTTTTATGCAAATACTCCCCAATCCCCTCCTCATCATATGGCTCATTGAGCTATCCTTCATCCCTGCTTCTTGCTCTGCTGTCTCATCTCTGATCTGCAGTTTTAGCCTTCTCCATTATTAGAAAGGAAGACTAATAAGAGTATGGGAGGATGGTTAAGACTTTGACAGGTTTTATTGATGATTCTACATAAATCTTCAAAAGATCAGATCAGATAGCTTAGATTAATCACAAATAGTGTTGTAACTTTCATTTAAGCCTTTGTCCAGGGACTTTTATTTATTATAGCTACAAAACAATTTGAGAATATTCCATAAGACCAGTATAAAAGATTTATTTTATCTGATTTTAACTAGAGTACTTAAGTACCCTTTTACGGTATCCATACTTTACTCCATTACTTATTTTTCTTCCAACTTCTGACTGCTACTCATTACATTTTCACACAAGTATCTGTACTTTCTCTTTCTTACATTTTTAAAACAAATCTTACTCGTACTCTTGGCTTCGGCTTTATTTTTATAAATATTTCAATCTGAAAAACTCACACAAAGAGAGAAGACAATTAGGAGAAATGTATTAATACAATAACTTTGTCTTTGGCGCTCTGACTTCGGCAGGAAACATAGCGCTTAATTTTGATAGATATGCATGAACAGGAGCAAAAAAAGGGGCTTTTTCCCTTCAGGCATGAACCTGGTGGTAGAGTGGAGATAGATGAATTTGGTCAGTCTGTAGACTGCTGGTTAGTGAGACGGTATGCTGAGCTTTATGGGAAGATCCAGTGGATTGTGTGAGCTCATACTAAAGCTTCACTCAGGGACCTGGATGATGGAAGTCCAGTTGGATAACACAGGTTGGGAGAACCTGTCCATGATAAGCATACATGAAGCGACAGTGGAGAGGAAAAACTCCCCATTGGGAAGAAACCTCAGGCAGAACCAGGCTCAACATGGCGGTCTTCTGTCAGACCGTTTAAGATGAGACAGGGGATACAGTAAGAATCCAGAAGGAATAACACTCTGATGAAGCTTAAGCTACAAAGGTTGAGGAGGGGCTGGAGGTGGGTTGAATCTGTGTCATCTCAATTAAGTCAATGCACATTCGCTGCCTGCGCACAGGAGCAGACAGGTGCGTGTAGGAGGCCTTTTAAGATGAGCTTTGGATGCTGATTGGCTTTCTTGGAGGTGTGGTTCAAAGCTGATTGGCTGTGTCGCAGGTGGATGTAGGAGAGCAATCAGTTTCTTCAGTTGAATTTCCACCTGGGCTCTATTTATTTCACATCATGTGTGCCATCCAATGCCGATCATTGTCTCCATCCATATTGAAAACGAGTGTAATTGGATGAGTCATATAACTCAAACACTCATTGGTTAGCTAAAGGAAATCATCAGAAGCAAGCAGGTGTTCTTCAAACTGAAAACATGAATTGTCTATGCCGTGCTACAATGTAGGATTCAGAAAAAGATGTTGAAATGTCTGAAAGGTCGGACACAGGCGACAGTGTATCGGGAGACGGAGACAAAAAAGACCTCCCTCATCCTTGGCTCTATCTCAAAGAATATTTCAAAATAGTAAAAAAGTTTAGCTTTCAATTCATATAGTGGCATCTGGCTGTTTTTTTAAAGGTTACTTTATACTTTTATACTTTAAGTCGTTTTTGGAGCACATACTTTTTCACTTTTACTTGAATAAAGAGGTCAAGCTGATACTTCAACTTTTACCAGAGTGTTTTTAAACTGCAGTATCTATACTTCTACTTAAGTAACAAATGTGTGAACGTTTGACACCACTGATTTTAACATACACATAAAGTCAAAGACTGCTGATTTGGCAGTTGTCCAAAATACAAACAGGGACATCATCCTAAAGAGACATCTTCTGACTTAATAAAGAAGAGTGCATTTTGGCATATTGGTGGAAAGTTAAGTGGAAGGGAAAATGTGATAGGCAGATAGAGCGTAAAACCAAATTAAAACTATATCTTATAATAGACCACACATGAAGTATAGTTCATAGTCCAAAGTTCTCTTATTTAGATGAAACTAAATTCTGCATTTAGCTTAGTAATCAAGGCCATAGGTTCTGGAGTGAAGAGACACAGAATGATTGTTGTTTAATATCACGTTTTCACAAGTACCCTGTTTGTAGATTTCCATCAGAATTGTTCCACAGTGTTTAATTCAAAGCAAAGTTGGTGTTCTGGTATTTTTCAGGTCACTTCATATCCTTCACTGCCAAAAAGTATAGAAATGCAAAATTCACTACCAATCACTGCTGTAAATGCTGTGATTTGCTTGACTAGTCATCTAACCGGCCTGACCTAATCATACCAAGAATCTATGTGGTAATTAGGCCAAAAATTTTGAAAAATAGGTCGCTAAAGCAAGCTGGGCTCCTTAAAACGTCAGTATAGCCACAGGCTAATCACCTCCATGTCAAGAGGCCACCGACCAAGAGCACCCAAGGACAGAAGGTTGTTTGATTTATTTAATGCAGTTCTTTTCTATTGGTCTTATTTAATAATGAAACTTTCTTTTTTAAATGCAAAGACTGTGAGATAATTTAAAGGGGTAATAACAGTGGATTGTATGAATTTAACTATACTTAGTGAAATAAATTACATACAGCTGCAGTGACGCAGCCAGGCATAAACTTAATATCCTGCAGCACAAATAAATACAGTGCGCAAACTTGAGCTTCACAGTAGGAGGTCCACAACTCACCATTTCGCACAGCAATTAATGTCTTAAAAAAAAAAAAAACATATGCTGAGGCTGGAGGTGAAAAACATCAGCAGCATCCTCCTCGTCCTGAAGTTCCACGCCCCCTTTTCCAAATGACTCAGGTGCAGCAGGAGAGCAGAGGAAAGCCCCCGTTTGCGTAATTTTCACACTCGCCTGCTGATTTACTGCTTCTGTTTCATGTAAGACAGCCGCACATTTACAACATACGCAGACACGCACACACACCTGTGCAAACGGCATCACTTGACTGTCAATCCCTCATTGATCTTTCCATTATGCTTTGAACAGGGGAGAAGCCCATATATGTATTTATATATATGCCTATCGTTAATTGTGGTCTTAAAAAAAATCAAAGCCGCAGGTTCAAAGCTCATCTTGTAAGGGGATCAACAACCAGAGTACCTGTGTGTTTGAACTCCAAACTCACAAAATACCCAGATACTTGACACTTGAAGGTCTTGGGGGTTAAAAAAAGGTACCTGTGATGCTGATTCTTCAGTAAATAAGCTGAGTTTTATAGGCTTATGCATATTGGACTCTGTTATTGAACATTAAACAGAGGAATAATACAGGCATTACATTAGACATTTAGTCATCAAACCAGTTTCGTTTTTGAAACCAATTACCAAATGCACATTTTATGGGTGTACCACATTTATTTAAACATGCTTATAAAATAACAATACTTATAATAGATGGTGGATGCCTGCTTATTTTGATGCTTGATTTTATGCTTGAGGTTTAGCATTTTATTAATTAATATGTTTCTTGTTGTGGGTTATCATTTGTATATATCTTTGAATGTTTTGTGAATAAATTATATAATTGTGTTATTTAGCTCAACAACACTTTATACATGTTTTCACGATACATTACATGTAGTTTCTTGCAAAAGTACTGATGCATCTTTAAACTTTTTGTTAAGCCATAAACATCAAAGCATTTTTGGGGCTTTATGTGATAAAAGAGAAGTGTCATTGTGAAGAAGGAGTAAAGTTATAGTTTTATGCATATATTTGTATTAAAGCTCTGGTTTAACATAGGTATTGTCCAACAGGTAAACTTATAGCCTTTTGAAGCCTCCCTTTGTTTTCCTTTATTATTGTCCTGCATGTGGTACAATCTATCTATAAACTATCTATAAACTATAAAAATTCCCACAGCATGATGCTGCCAAATCCATATTTCTGCAATGAGGATGGTTAATTCAAAGTGCCAGTGTTCAGTGTCCCAAATCAATGAACTTTTTTTGCAAATATTATCTGTTAAAGGTTCTGTAAAGGCATTACTTTGCATGTTTGCAAAATAATTATATTTTCGCAACTAACCACAGCCCTTTCACTCGTTTTCCCGTCCCCCTATAGATGTTGCAAACTTCTTCAGAACAGCAACTGCTTTGCAGAGATGAAACCGCTCATGGGACTCCAATTAACTGTACCCCATTATTAAAATCGTTCAATGTATCTGGCTGGGATCAACTTAAAATTGCTGCAAATCGTTAAACATTGTATTGTTTTTTCTTCTTCTTCTTCACATTGATGGATTGCTATCTGTTGATGAATCACACAATTCCCACAAAATATGTCAAGATTTGTATGTCCTACAATTCCTGATAAGCCAACATTTAACTTTAGGCAGAAATAGCTCCTGGTTAAAGGATTTCTTTCTAATTTCCCTCCTTGTTTGTTAGATCCCATGAAGTGTCTAGTAAAACTACATTTGAAAGCTTACATTTAAATTAAAACTATGTGTCTATGTGGCTGTTTACAAGATCCTATATGTAGAATATATTTTGGCAGTAACACAGACACAGTCATGCTCTCAAATGCATGGGCCCCCACAGCCCCCATAGTCCCTGCAGCCCCTGTTGGCCCTCTCCTGAGACTCAAATTGATAAATGAGGTTCAGATGCAGACTTGTGCATTGTGTGGTCCTCTCATGTACCTATACCTCCGCTTCTTCCGCTTGACAAAAATATATATATTGGTTCACATATTCAATACAGCGGAACATGAGTGACTGTATGTCCTGTTGTATGCAACGC